CCCTCTTCACCACCCTCAGACCCACCAGCCATGTCCCCAGGACCCGTAGATGCCCTCTCCAGTCCCACAAGTGTCCAGGAAGCAGATGAAACCACACGTTCAGACATCTCCGAGAGGCCATCTGTGGATGATGTTGAGTCAGAAACAGGGTCTACTGGTGCCCTGGAGACCCGCAGCCTCAAGGATCACAAAGGTGGGGAGATAACAGCAGGGTACCCAATCCACCTCTTTTTTTACATCTAGGACAGTGACTTGGGTCCTACTAGATATTTTAGAAAATGGGATGCTCAGCCAACTTGCCTTATGCTTTCCTCCCTGAGATTTAGTTAAGCTCCAGAAGAGGGGAACTTGATGCCTAGGTGGCTGGTCTCGTTTGGACAGGCTTAGGTGACAGAAAGGGATTCTAAGGTATTTTCTTTTTGTCTCTAGTTTTCTTTTTTTCTAAGCCCAACAGTCTGTGTTCCTTCCATTGCTTTTTCTCCCATCTTCACTCTGTACCATGCCACCCCAAGAGTACAACAAATCCTACCAGGCACATTTTGGGATTGGCCCTCTGGCTTTGGACAGCTGTGGCAGTTCTCACTTCAAAGGACGAGAGACTCACTGCCCAACCTAATCATTCATTTAACAGTGAGCCTTTCAACCAGGAGTCTCTCTCCTTATGATTTAAGCCTATATTAATTCATGTCTAAAGCCTGCTGTGTGAAAGCCTTCCTCAACTGTCTTGGTCCTAGATTTACCACTTTGAAGTTTCCAGACACACTGCTTCCTGTGTATGCCCTGGAATGCAGTAAACAAGTTGGTGTCAACCCAGCTTTTCCTTAATGATTTATAGGCTTTGGAGAACACCTTGAATTAGCCTTTGTTTTTCCAGTCTCAGTCTGTCCACATAGAAAGGTGGCCAGGGCTGCACTTCCTTAGGGCAGAGTCAGGTGCATACAAAACCCATGAGCATTGGGGCCGGGGAGATAGCTCAGTGGAATAAGCACTTGCCTGGCAAGATCAAGGACCTGAGTTCAATCCCTGGTTCCGCAAAAAAAAAAAAAACCATGAGCATACAATTTCATCAGGATGGATAAAGTGCATTTTTGGCTCTACTTTATTTCCTGTCTGGCTTTAGGCCCAAGATACTGGTTCTGTTTTTCATCCTCTGTCACTCCATTATTGGTCCTTTCTCTGTCATCCACCTCTCCTCACACGATTCCCATATCTCTGCCTCAGTTTCTCCTCTTCTCCTTCAGTGAGTTTCCTGCGCAGTGGCACTAAGCTCATCTTCCGCCGGAGACCTCGTCAGAAGGAAGCTGGCCTGAGCCAATCACATGATGACCTCTCCAACACGACAGCCACACCCAGTGTCCGAAAGAAGGCTGGCAGTTTTTCCCGCCGCCTTATCAAGCGTTTTTCCTTCAAATCCAAACCCAAGGCCAATGGCAACCCCAGCCCCCAGCTCTGAGGGCTGCCTCACCTTCTGCACTATGAGAGGGCAAGAGTTCTCTCAGCTCGTTACCCACATCTCCTTCTCTACCCCTTCCTGGATTCCTAATGTTGGGGTCAGGAAAGCCCTCGGGTTCCAGGAAGCCCTGTCCATCCTGGGCTGTGGGACTGTTGGAAGGGAACTTGCAGTGGGAAACATTTGAGAGATAGGCACCCATTGCTACAGGCACAGAGAAAGAGAGTTGGTAGCTGGGAGTGAGAGGTGGGCTCTGTCCTGGCACGTGTGGACATTGCTCAGAAACATTTGCCCCCTGCTGACAGTGGCCCCCCAAGAGGAGTGCCAGGGTGCTCAGCTCCTCAGTGGATCCTTCCTTATTTATTCTCTTTTCTATTTATATGTGTGATCTAGGACCCTCAGTGGACAGATGACAGAGAGCATCTCTCCAGGTGATCCTTTTTCACTGTCCCAGAAGGGTAGGCAATTCCCAGGAGGGGTTCCCATGCCTCCGTCAGGTCCCCACTCAGACCAGCACCAATGTCTGCCTCTGAGGACATTGGCAGCTCATAGGAAGCCGGGCCGGTGCCCGGGATGGGGGGCAGGTACTCCCCACCTCCCTGCCTCCCCAATGCTCCTCGTCTCTCCCTCCCCTTTTCTTACTGTTTTTTGTACTTGAGGCCTTCTCCATGAGCAGTGGCTTAGATGGAAGGAGAGAGCCAGGAGCCTGGTGGGAAGCCTTGTCCAGGGACATGGCTTTAGGGGCTTTAAAGACTGTGCGATGGTGGGCAGGGGCAAGGCTGCACCTCTGTACATTGGGGGATGATGATGTCCATTGCTGTGTGATGGCTTGGAGTTTAATTTATTAAATTAAAGTCAACTGGAGTTTATAAACTGGACAACTGGTTATCTTTTGAAAGACAAGTAGGCAGTGATGCTGTCTGTGGTGCTGATAGGTTTTGGATGAGGGATAAGGACCCAGGTAGCCAGATGGGACAGACGGTCCTGAAGGAAGGAAGGAACATGTAGAGACAGGAAGAAAGGGACAAGAATCTCTGAGAGGTGAAGTTGCAGAAAGCCAAGGGGCTTCTCTAGGCACATTCATCCCTTTTTCTCCAACAGGTTGCTTCGTTCTGGAAGTAACAGTTTAAAGGATTAACTCGAACTAAACTGCCTGGATTTGAGTCCTAGCTTCATTAAATGCCTGTGTGACTTCAAGCAAGTTTATATAAGCTCTGGGTGCCTCCGTTTTCTCATTTGTAAAAGGAGAATCATAAGGGCCAGACAGATGGCTCAGCAGCATAAGCATCTGCCTAGCAAGTCCAAAGTCCTGAGTTCGATCCCCAA